TTTCCACCATCGGTTATTACAAGTCCAAGAGTAAAGGGGAGGAGGCCAGGGGCAGCTGGGGGAGGGGAATGAGAGAGGGGCTTGCAGACGTTGGCGATGTCGCTCAGAGCGGAGAGGGACAGCTCTGCCAGGGCGTTCTGCGGGGCAGTGTTCTGAGCTGAGTGTCTTGTCCTCCCCAGATTATTATGTTGAGCCCACCATGAAGCGGTGCATGCCTGATGAAGTACCGCTGAGAGGGGGGTGCGGATAGAGCAGGGCTGCACGTGGCTTCTTGAAGCCTCAGGGAAGAGACAGGACTTGAGCTGAGGTTCAGGTTGGATAGCAACAAGATGGTCTTGGAAGTTCTGTCTTTGGGAGGTGTTAGGTTTAAAGTCCTGAGGGTGGAGCTCCTGTGATGGGATTAGTTTCTTATAAGAAGAGACTTCAAAGGGCTTCCTGCCCCCCTCCCCCCTCAGCGTGTGGATACGAGGAATGTCTTTCATACCCAAGAGAAATGGGTTGGAGAAACGTCTGTTTAGGTCTTCTGTCCATTTTCTGATTGGGTCGTATTGGACTTTTTTTTTTTTTTGTCCCAACGAACTATTTTTATACTAGGCACTTAATAAATATTAAAATGCTAGCCAAATTTTCATGTTTTTAATCTTATAGGTGTGTATCTAATAATTGTTGAAGCCAGAATTGCTTCCTTGTACGGTTAGTCTCACCTTGCTATACCTGTCAAAATACTTCAATTACCTGCTCAAACTGTCATACTGCTCATGGATTAATTTTAAATGAAATGCAACTCTAGCATAAGACTGTGATTTAAGAGAGGATATAGAGTATTTTGATGACCCAACTGACAACATATTTCTTCTTCCAGGTTTTTACCTGTCAGCGAAGGATTTAAGTTTGAATGTTAGCCATTTATGAAGACTCTTGACCTTTTGAATATTTATTTGTAATATGTATTCACTCACAAAAAACCGAGTGTGTATTATATGTCAGGCTTTGGTCTAGGAGCCAGGAACACAGAGATAAGTATGATCGGGCCCACTCCCCCAGCAGGCTCACACCATAGTAAAAGGAATCAGACGTGAACACCAGCCGGTGACCAGGAGGGTTAGGAGGGCTAGGGCGGACGTCTACATGGTGTGATGGAGGCCCAGGTGGAGCCAGCTGACCGTGTGAGGGTGGGAATAGGGTGACATTTGAGCTCTGTCTTGAAAAGCACAGTTGGGTAGGGCAAGTAATCTGATGAAGGGAAGTTGCTTTAGCCAAAGCAGAGAATGCTCACGGGAATGAGTCATTTATTTGCAAGTCTGGGTTCAGCTACAGCAGCATGGGCTTCCCCGTGGCTCAGTGGTAAAGAACCTGCCTGCCGAGGCAGGAGATGGGGCTCAGTCCCTGGGTAGGGAGATCCCCTGGACAGCAAATGACAACCTGCTCTAGTTTTCCGGCCTGGGAAATCCCATGGACAGAAGAGCCTGGCAGGCTACAGTCCGTGGGGTCGCAGAAGAGTCGGACGTGACTTAGTGACTAAGCAGCAGCAGGCGTGAGTGCCCAGTAGAACTTTCTGCAATGACGGGAAAATTCTGTTATCTTCACTGTCCAATACGGTAGCCACTAACGGAATGTGGCTCATGCAACTGAGGAACTCAGTTTTAAATTTCATGTAATTTTGACTGGATTCTTGTGGTTGATGGCTGCCGTATTGGACAGTGCAGGCAGAGAGACAAGAGGCCAGATCAGGGAAGAACTTGTATCTCATTCTAGCGGGACTGACTGTTTTCCTGTAGGCAGGGGGACATCTTCAAAGAGCTGCACAAAGGAAATTATTCGATCAGCTTTGCCTTTAGGAGGGGGTGCAGAGAAGAAGCAGACGGAACATTTAAGAGCCCTCAGAACACTAACTAGGGAAGTAATCAGGGAAGGGAATGGACTTTAGACATGCTCAGAAGGAGGGAGGGGCGGGCTTGGCGACAAGTCTGCTCATGAAGGGTGATGGAGAGAGAGGAGAACTATCTGAAGCAGGTTCAGGCTGCTTCAGTCATTCTTCAGTCATTGCGTCTGCCATTAATTACTACTGACAGTTCACCCCAATAAAGAATGTCGAGTTGGATGGGTTTTGAGAGAAGATTTATGTTAGAGATAGTGAGCATGGATCATGTTAGAGATAATGAGCTTGGAGTATGTCAGAAATTCGGCTGAATTGTTACTATCTTCCTTCTTGCAGTGGGCCAGGAGGGACTCGCAGTCCAGCGCTCACCATTGGAGGAACAACTTATATTGAAATAAACTGATGGACTCTTTGACCATTATCTAGCCACAACAAAATAGCTCCTGAAAGTGGAATGCAGCTCTATTATAATTTCAGCAAACTGGTCAGAAAAATTCCTCTTCAAAAAAATGAGGACTCACAGACTGCAGAGTAAGGTGAGTTCTTTGATAATTGAGAAAAAATTATTTTGTTTTTAAAAATTGAAGTATCATTGACTTATAGTTGTGTTAGTTTCAGATATACAGGAAAGGGAGTTGACCAGATTGTTCTTTCTCAGATTCTTTTCCATTGTAGGTTATTATAAGATGTTGGATATAGTTGCCTGTGCCATACAGTAGGTCCTGTTATTTCCCTATTTAGGATATAGTAGTGTGTATCTATATATTAAATATACAGTAGTGTGTATATATGACCCACTTCTCTGGTGGCTGAGACGATAAAGCGTCTGCCTACAATGCGGGAGACCCAGGTTCAATCCCTGGGTCGGGGAGGTCACCTGGAGAAGGCAGTGGAACCCCACTCCAGTACTCTTGCCTGGAGAATCCCACGGACGGAGGAACCTGGTGGGCTGCAGTCCACGGGGTCGCCCAGAGTCGGACACGATTGAGCGGCTTCACTTGGTGTGTATCTATTACTCCCAAACTCCTAATTTATTCCTTCCTCCTTTGGTACCAATGAGTCTATTTTTCATGTCTGTGATCCTGAAAATTTTATTTTTTTTAAATAAGACTTTACCAAATTAAAGTTTGTCCTTGGGAGCNAACCTTCCTGCCATTGCAGGAGATGTAAGAGACATGGGTTTGATCCCTGGGTTGGCAAGATCCCCTGGAGAAGGGTACAGCAGTCCACTCCAGTATTCTTGCCTGGAGAATCCCATGGACAGAGGAGCCTAGCAGGCTATAGTCCATAGGGTCATACAGAATCAGACACAACTGAAGCAACTTAGCATGTATGCATGCTGATGAACTTAAGAAGCTTCCTGTTTTTGTGTCAGGAAACTCAAATTTTGCTTTTTTTTCCGGCTCTTCTGTGCCCATGTAACTAACTCTAAAGAGGAATCTCTCTAAGGAAGATGATTAAGAAATGATCTTGTGAATCTTCTTGACTGAAAGGATGTGGGAAAGCAGACTAAAAATAGTTAATGATTTTTCTAAGGGAAACTTCAGTAAGAATGACTTGCATTGTCTTCCTTGGGCAATGCTTTCTTTTTCATCATTACTCTGAAAATTCAGCTGCCCACTCTATTAGCAAGCATTTCTGTGGAGAAGGAAAGTTAAACTGGAAAAGGAAATTGTCAGCTAATTCTAAGGCTATGACTTCCTTCATTTCAAAACTGGTAAACCACACATATTACATAGACTAACATGATGATTTGTGTTTTGAAAAAATAGCCAACTGTTGCATAGTGTATGGATAATAATAGAGAACATGAGTGAGATAGGTGAAAAGCACGAGATCTGAATTTTTATTTTAACTTTGAGGATTTCTCGAAACCAGGATGCAGCTCTATTTTAATGATCTATATAGACCAAAAGGATAACCCAAAGTGGAGAAGTTCTCCATTACTGTGCCTTTACTTTACTTTTTATTACGAGATATAACATATACAGAAAAGGTTAGTGTAACATATGCACCATTGAATAGTTATAAAGTGAACATCCATATAAATACTGTTCAGGTGCATGAGAGAATCTTAATCAAGAGTCTACTGACACTATCAGAGAATTTGCCCATCTCTCTCTTTTTTTAACACTGCATAGGTTTCCACGCTGCTAAGTTAATACGGTTGTTTAAGAAATCTAGTTTTTTACATCCTTTAGCTCACTGAGGTGTAGTGACCCTGTCTTCTGTCTGAGCCTTGGGTGGGTCCCTCTGTATCTTGCGTGTCTTTTTTTTTTTTTTTTTTTTTTAAGTTATCCTCGCCCATCCCTTCCAGGAAAGGCTCTCTCGGACGCAGCCACGCCCAGGCCCCGCCCCTTTCGGGCCCTAGCGTTTGGTCTCCATGGTTACGCCGAGAGTGCCGCGCTGCCGTGAAAGCCCCGGGGAAGAATCGGGCAGACCCTGCTCCAGCTCGTCACTACAGCCAAGGTCAGCGCAGCCCGGGCTCCGCGCCCTTGATCCCGGAGTGTACCTCGCGAGGAGGCGGGCATGGGTCAGCGGACGGAGCCTGGGCCGCGGGAGCATGTCCTCTAACCTGGTTCAGGCGACGCTGACAGTCAGGACTCTTTCCAGGCCCCGCCGCTGAGCGTAAAGAGCGGTCGCTTCCGGTCGGAGGCTCACAGGTCCCCAGGTCAGACGGCTGAGCCGTGCTGGGCACCGCTCGCACCCGCGCCGGCCAGAACTCGGGAGGTCTAGGCAGGGTCGGGGGGCGTGGGCAGGGTCGGGGGGGGGACCGAGGAGAACCGGGAGAGACCTGGGCTGGGTAGCCCGACGGCGCATGCGCACACGCGGGCCTTCTATCCACCGAGCAGGCGCTTGTTAGTTACCAGCTGCTGGTTGATGCGCTTCCTTTCTGCCACGCGCTGTGTTAACCGCTAAGTATGTAGACTGGGAAAGGAGTAAGTCAAGGCTGTATACTGTCACCCTGCTTAACGGAGTACATCNGCGGGAGAAGAAGGGGATGAGAGAGGATGAGATGGCTGGATGGCATTACCGACACAATGGACATGAGTTTGAGTAAACTCCAGGAGTTGGTGGTGGACAGGGAGGCCTGGCATGCTGCAGTCCATGGGGTCACAAAGAATCCGACACGACTGAGCGCCTGAACTGAGCTGATGTAGAACTCAGGCCTCAGGACAGCTCCAGGGAGAGAGTACTAGTAGGATTTATAGTTATCAGATGAGAAAACCACTGCAAAGAGAAGTTAAGGAAATGCACAAGGTTTCAGCTAGGAAATGGGGCTCGGTGGGAACCAGGCTCTCTGGTCCTCCTGGACTAGATGCCCGGTGTTGTTTACCTTACCTGAACCCTAATATGCTGAAAGTGATCTTTACCTACCTGAGATTGCCTTTGTTATTCTCTGCATGCTAATTTCCCCTGTGCTTATTTACAGATACAAATCAGAAAACCTGATCACTATTAAAACCTACCATCTACCACCTTTCCAGGAGTTCATTTTTTTCCCCATGATCCATGACTCATTATTTGTTTTGCTTTTTTTGTTTTATGTTTTTAATCAAGAGTCTAAACCTTGACTTGGATGTGCAAGAAATAGAATTTTGATGATTCGAGCAAGAATTGTGTTCCAAGAGTCTCTGATAATTATGAAAGGTCATTTAGTGAATGTGATGAAATAAGCATGTCCTGTTTCAAGCTGACTTTGCCGCCTACATAGTGGAATTTCTCACTAATTGTACTCCTACACCCATCCCCCGTCTCTAATACTGTTTAACATTTTTTAGTTAAAAATATCATGTTATAAGGGTACTTTTGATGACCACCATCATTTAAATAAGGAGGAAATGTTTCAATCATTAACTCCCAATTGCTCTCACTGTTATTATCAGTCCTTCATTTTTATAAATATGAAACCAACTAATGAAAAACCAGAGGGGCCTATATACTAGTAAATATTATTAAGTTAATAAATAATATGACTCTTTACAAATTTATTAGTGGTGGAATCTCAAAAGGAAAAAATAATATATAAATACAATTTAAAAACTCTTTTTATTTAGAATGCTTCCCACTCAGGCTGAAAGTGTTATAAAGAGTATCATTCGAGAAATAGGACAAGAATGTGCAGCCCATGGAGAGATTGTTCCTGAAACTCTAGTTGCTTTTATGGTAAGAATAAATATTTTTGTGAATTACTGCTTTATTAAAATTTTTTTCCAGCAGTGCCTATTTTCTCTTAGAATTCTGTGACATTTTCTTAACTGATTCCATTGAAAACCTATGGACATTGTTGGACAAACTGTGTGTGTGTGTGCTCAGTCGTGTCCGACTCTGCAGCTGCGCTGTAGCCTGCGAGGCTCCTCTGTCCGTGGGATTTCTCCAGGCAAAAATACTGTCGTTATTTTCTTTAAGTCTATAAAGCATGTTAGTTCTAGATTTAAGAGACTGATTAGAAAATCTCAAAGAATCTTAGAAACATCAATAATGTTTTTCCTGTGCTGTAAGTTTTTTTCTTTTTAACATGTATTGTTCACTGTTGTAAAAATTACTCATTTCCTTGATATCTCTCTGTTCTTGCTTTTCGTTTAATGATACACAATAAAATATGATAAAATATTCCAATTAGTTTCCCAATGTAAAATTGCTCCCTTTCTCCAGTTTCTGATGAAGACGCTGATGAATTGGGTTGTGAGAAATTCAGCTGAGTGATCGACCCCTGGGTAACCAAGAGAGAGTTGTTTGAAAAATGGAAAAATATTAAACTAATGTTGTGGTAATATGAAATAAATGTGATGGGCTTTTTCCTACTCTCAGGTGAAAGCTGTTGTTCTGGACCCAAGTAATGGCTTTAACACGGATAGAACGCTCACAAAAAGTGATGTGCAGAAACTGGTAAAGGTGATTATCCAACATTTCTCAAATTTTGAATGATTTACTCTCAATTCTTGATTTGTGTTGATCTATAGTGCCTTCAGCTCCATGAAACAAAACCCCACCGAACAGTGGTGCAAACAAATGAGAGATTAATTTTTTTTCTCATAAAATGAAGTCTATAGGTTCATAGGTTGTTTTTCCTGACTTCCTAGGTCACCATCATGCATGTGTTTTCACCCCAGGGTCACAAGAAAGCTCTTCCGCCTTTAGGCAGGTATAAGGTGAGAGGACAGAGGTCAAAGTATGTGTGCAATTGGATCTGTCGGTTTGTTTTTGGAAAATAATGGGCTTTCCCAGAATCCCTCCCATCTCTTTCCATTGATGGCCTGCGTGCGTGCTCAGTCACATCTGACTCTTTGGCCGTCAGTTCACTGTGGCCCGCCAGGCTCCTCTGTCTGGAATTTTCCAGGCAAGAACACTGGAGTGGGTTGTCATTCCCTTCTCTAGGGAACCTTCCCAAGCCAGGGACCGAGCCATTTATCTGGTGTCTCCTGCATCGGCAAGTGGATCCTTTATCACTGTGCCTCCTGGGAAGCCCTCGCATTTATTGATTAGAATGATATTGCAAGTGAGCCTGGGATGTTGATTGTTTTCCTCTTTCCTTTTTCAGCTGAAAGAAAATCTCTGGCTTAATCCAGATTGAGGCTTTGTTAGTAAGGAAGGAGGGGTATGGATGCTGATGGGTAGCAGTGTCTGCCACAGTATTTTAGAGACATCTTATTCATGTAATGAGACATTGAGAAAATTATTAACTGACTTATATACAGTTATATACAAATTCATATTCATATAATTATTGATTCAACATAATTTGTGTTTTCTAAAAGAAAAATTGAAGCCAAGAACAAAATGATTCATAGGATAGTTTGAGAATTTGAGATTGACGTCTATACACTGCTGTATTTAAAAGAAATGAAGAGCTAACCATAAAGGCTCTACTATAGAAGAAAGAAAATAAAAGAAATCAGGTAGATGTGCCTGAAAAGCAGTTGTAAGAACTAAAGAAGGCAGGAACTTTAGATACTGTTAATTTTTCCATATGTTTTAAGTTTGACTCACTGGGTTTAGATGCTTAAGTGTTTATTTTCTAAGTATTTGTGAATGGATTTCCTAAAATTTCAACATTATTTTTTCGCCTGGGCTTAATTATTTTAATTCCCTCCTTCACACAAAATATTTGAAACAAGCGTTCCCAGACTTGTATGTGGATATTTTCTGAGCTCAAGCAAATGGTAGAGAAAATTTTTATCATCTCTGTCTTCTCTCTCAGCCATCAACTTGCATAGTGGAACACAGGTCTGTCCGCAGATGTTAGAGGATCAGGATGGACTTTGGAAGCTTGGAACTAGGGGATATGTTGTTAGGATAACCATGCAGAAGAAACTCCATGATTCTCTATGGCAGCTGAGAGCTGGGTCTTTCTGTGCTGAAACAGAATGTGCTGTGAAGCCTGATCTTGGCAATAGGGGAAATGACTAATGGTCAGTCAGAAATTTCGTTGGAAAGCTGTGGAGAAGAACCAGGGAGGGGCAGAAAGGGTTTTTCTCCTTTTCGTGGCTCAGGAAGCAGTTCTCCCCCCTCTAACTCAACTCAATTGGCAAGAATAAAGGTTGATATATTTTTTGAATTTTATTTTTCTTATTGAAGTGTAGTTGATTTACAATATTGTGTTAATTTCCACTGCACAGCAAAGTGAATCAGTTATACACATATGTAAATTCTTCTTCATGTTCTTTTCCATTATGGTTTATCCCAGGATATTGAATATAGTTCCCTATGCTCAGTGCACTGTTAATGTGACAGGGACCTTAACTGTCAATTTATATCATAATTCAAGTGATAAAGAGTGTTTCCTTTTTCCTCAATTAATAATCATGTGGACGAGCTAACTTTTGCATTTGTAAGGTCTGTGCCTGGCCCGGCACCTCTCCACCGGGATGGGTCCAGGTGTCCCATCCTCACGCCGGCCTCCTCTCCCTTCTCCCAGGAAAGTACTCCTGGTGCTTGGGAGGTGGGCCGGGTGAAGCTGGTGTGCCCGCCAGGTACAGACATAAAGTCTCACGTGAGACAGGGAAGAGTGGGGCTGGGGGGTGGAGAAGAGAGGAGAAAAGAAAAATTCACGTGGACGATCTGCCCTCAAAGGGCAAAACAGAGGAGGAGGGTGAGCCATCTGTGTGCGCGTTGGTGCGGGGCAGGGGTGGGCCAGGGCAGGCCGGAGAAAACGGACCAGAGGAGGAAATTTGGAAACAGAAGGCGGGCTCAGAGATTGTCCCTGAGCAGAGGATGGTCGCCATAGCGGCTTCTCATAAAATGCACATGACCTCCAGCGTCAGCTAAAAAAAACAAGGAGCATGAAGGTTCAAATAAATGGTACTGAGGAACTCAGGAAGAGCTCCAGTCATGAGCATAAGCTTCATGAAATGCCCACCCACATGGAGTCTTCAGAGACTAACCTTGTCGAGGGCCTTGCCTCCAGCTAGACTACTAGCCACCTGGGCATAGTAATATTGGCTAACTCAGGGGAAATGGCTTATCACTTAATACATGTTACTGGTTGGATAATCCATAAAGCCATAAAGCATGAAGTTCTGAGGAAAAAATAATACAAGGGGCTAGTGGTAGATAAATATCAGAAGCTATTGCTTTGATGTTTCTCTTTGATTTTAAAAATACCTTCTGATTGAGAAGCATTTATGGGGTATTCTCTTTTAGCTTTGTGTGAATCGGCTATTGGACAGCAAAAATCCTTCCCTGGACACCATTAAGATGCAAGTCTACTTTGATATGAATTATACAAGTCGAGGTAACATATACTACCTATATTGATACCCTTTAAAAGAAGATCCATTTTAAAAAAAAGATTCATATTGTATTTCAGGTTATAGGGCTTCATTTGGTTGATGAAGAACAATATAACTTTTTTGTCTGTCTTTTGAGTTTTTTTCCAACTTTGAAGAATGTAATGACATTGGAGATGCGAAATGAGGCCATTGGCCTTGATGAGTGTCAGAAGCTTCTGAGTCTGTTGCGCTTTACCTGTCATATGATTCATGTATAATATCGTAAAGCAGCCAGCCCACTGGAGTTCAGATTCTTAATTTGCTGATTTTTTTTGTTCCTGGTTTATATTATTATCTCATAATGTTTCCCTAAATTATGTAACTTACCTAAAAATGAAGTTAATGTTGGGAAATATAAGCTCAGAACATATGTTGTGTGTAAATTGTTTATTACATACATCCGAGATAAACTGGAAACAAGATAAAAAGGAAAATAAAGATTGCCTCTGCTTGACTGTAATGGAATCATTATTAACCATTTGGTGATTTTCATTGTCTTTTTTCCCTCTATGTATTAAACTTTTAGTTATGCTACATGTGTAAAATCATGTATCTTGCTTTTTTGATTAATAATAATGACATTTTAGGGCTTCCCTCGTAACTCAGTTGGTAAAGAATCTGCCTGCAATGCAGAAGACCTGGCTTGATTCCTGGGTTGGGAAGATCCCCTGGAGAAGGAGCCGGCAACCCACTCCAGTGTCCTTGCCCAGAGAATCCACATGGACAGAGGAGCCTGGCGGGCTGCAGTCCATGGGCCACAAGTCGGACACAACTTAGTGACTAAACCATCACGATGACGTTTTAAAACAACAGTAATGAATTGATGTAATTTAGATTTTTCTTAATTTCAAAGTTTGAGGCTTTGTGATAAATTTATAGCTATAAATTGTGTATGGTTGATATTTTAATTATTGCCCTTATTAAAGGGTGTCTAATTGACTTAGTTGCAACAATTATAGTGCTGGTGAAGTGTGGCTCCTGCCACAATTAAGCTTAAACCTCATCATATCACCGGGAGAAGGGAGAGGGATACAGTTCTTGATGCAACATTGCATTACAGTGATGCCGTTCAGAGGAAATTTATCTAGAGCTAAAATAGAAACACACATAGTTGAAGAGGAATATTTATACTGTCTATACGGGTATTTATATTTGCTTACATACAGTATACTACGTGTGCTTACCAATAGCATATAGATAGTACCTATATTTATACCGTATATGTTTATAATGTATATTATAAAATATCTTATACTTTCTGCTTAACTAGGAGGTTTTAGCCCTATCTATTATGTTTGGATTGTCTGTTTAAAAGTCTTAAATGTTTTGACAAAGTATGCCGTTTAAATCACTAGTACATCTTCCCCACTAGATTCTTGTCTTGAAGTTACTTGCTGGCCACTGTTTATTTTTTTGATGACTATATCCTCGGAAAATACTTGTTTTCATGGAGTAGAATTGCCATACCATGCCATTTCCCCCTCTGGTCCTGCTTTCTTATGGGAGAAGAATCCTAAGTATCGTATATGGAACATTGTCTGTTGCCCTTTTTAGAGGAATTTCTTGAAGAACATCACCGGGTCATAGAGTCGAGATTAAGTTCTGTTAGCAGAGAGATTACAGACAGTCGAGCGTGTGCCCGAGAGGAGCTGGAAAGCCTCTATCGCAAGATCGTCAGCTACGTGTTACTGCGCTCTGGGCTGGGGTCCCCGACAGACCTCAAGATTGTCAGAGAGGCAACAGGTGAAAAATGTACGCCATTTCCATTCCATGTGTGAACGCACATGAACATCGTATCTTATAAAATATGGTGAATTACAAGTGTTGAACGTTGAAGTTTTCTCCTTTTGTCTGAAAGCAAAAATTAGCACAAATAAGAGGTTAAAATTTACCCACATTCCTCTTACACAGTGAAGCATCACTAAAACTCAAGTAGCACCTCTGGGAAGTGAATATGTTCGTCTTCTTAGAGCTTATGTACCTAGAGACCTATTACTCCTCACTAGAGAAGCGTTGGCAGTATGATTAAGAGGACCAGGCTGACTGAGGGGTGGGAAGTGCTGGGAGAGTAAGTTTCATACTGATGAAAGGAGTAGACTCTGTCATCTAGGATGGATGAAGGTAGACAGCACTGTTTTATCCTTAGGAGATACTTGCCCAGTTTCGTATAAAAGATAAGGACTAGGCAATATCTCTAACCTTCCCGCAGCTTTCTTCCATAATTCTTTTAAAGCATCATTTTTTTTCCCTACTCAGACTCCTACTTAGAAAGCTTGTTTGAATGCCCATTGCCAAAAGAATTACTGATGGATGCATAATTGTTGAAACGGATGTGAAGCAATGGCATTATTTTAGCAGCTCAGCTTTGATGTATGCTAAATTTTGCCAAGTATTCTGGAATCAGGTATCAGACAGCTAAAGAATAATCTAAGTGACTCTATAAAGACAAGCCCCCTAGCTTTCTGCTGAAAGAGACTTGTTACTTAGGTTCTGGTATCTTTACTCTACCGTTTTGTTGTCTTTTGGCGGTTTGTTTAGCTGCTCTACAGAGTGTGTTTCCTCAAACTGAGCTGGGGACGTTTCTAACCCTTTCTAAGAAGGACAAAGAATGCCAGCTGAAAGAACTCGCCATGATTGTGACTGGAATTCGTTTATTTAACCGAGACTGTGGAAAGGGAGGAGAAGGCATCGATGACTGTAGGTATATCATTAGGTTAATTCTATGGGTTACACAGGTTTAAAACTTAATGGGAACAGAGGAAAGTAATCCACAGTACACCACTGGCATTCTTGGATTTAACGTTTGCAGTTTTGACTATACCTTATGTACTGCCACTGTTCATAATGGACAGTAATCTTTCATTTTGTTGGGACAAGACCATGCATTTTTATGTACCATGACGCTAGGGGCTTTGATCCCTGCATTGGGTGGGTCCCCTGGAGGAGGAAATGGCAACCCGCTCCAGCGTTCTTACCTGGAAATCCCAGGGACCGAGGAGCTCGGTGGGCTACAGTCCAGTAGGCCGCAGAGCCGGACACGACTGAGCACGCGCCGCAGACGAAGCTGGAACGGGGCGTGAAGCAGTGAAGGGCTGGGGGGGCCTGCTGGAGTCCGGCCTCCCCCATTCAGTGGCCTTTATGTTCCCTGCACGCAGATGTGCTCAGCGGTGTCTGACTCTGCGATCCCGTGGACTGTAGCCCACCAGGCTCTTCTGTCCGTGGCATTTTCCAGGCAAGAAAACTGGAGTGGTTGCTATTTCCTCCTCTAGGGGATCTTCCCAACCCAGAGATCGGACTTCGTCTCTTGCATCTCCTGCATTGGCAGGTGGTTTTTTTTTTTTACTATCGGTACCACCTGGGAAGCCCTCCAAGCCAAATAACCAAAATGGAATAAAATTCAGTCATTCAAAAAATAAAAATCACCCTGAAAAGAAAACGGTTGCTGATGTAGTTAATGGAATAAATAGAATAAGAGGAGAATATTTGCAAGTCTATAAATCCAGAGCCTCGACTATACTGTTATATACTTAATGCATTCGTTATCTGTAAGTTTGAAAGCATTTGTTGAAATATTTGCTCAAAGACCAACCAGTAAGAGTAAATTCCTTCTGTATTTGGCACATATGTAGGCCCACTGAGAAGGTGTTAGTGTCTATTACCAGATCACTGATCTAGTACAATAGGGTAATTGTTTTTGCAATTTAAAAAATGTTCTAAGAAGTCCAATTCCCATTCTTCACAAATTTCCCTACTTTGCTAGGTGATTCTGTTGTTTTTCTGTATCCCAATGAGCTTCTTAAGTGGTACTGTTTTATTTCCTTTTTTACAAGCAGTAAAAAAGATTCACAGAAGAAGAGATATAGTGGCTTTTCTAGAAGCATGTAATTAATAGCACACAACACCAAAGCCTGCCTGTTCTTTAGACTCTTCTTATTTTATTGACCAGAGGTGGCCTGCTTTAGCTTTTTATTCTTATTCTGGCCGTGTGGTGTTCTCTTTGGTTGGTTTGTTTGATAGGTTTTTCTTTTTGGGTTCTTTCCTTCCTGATGTAGAAGTGATGAAACACCTGCCTCATTATTATTAATTTGGTTAAAAATAAAAACAGACTCAACCTACTGTTTAAATATGACTACCTTCTAGGCTTTTTTTCCCTGAATTCTTTTATCTTGCCTCATGTTTGTGTTATTATACCTTTCAAACCAGTGCCAGCTATTCTACAGGAAGCAATCCCAGCCACCACTCAGCACGTTGATTCCCAGCTTGAGGTGGTTCAGGACCAGGCATACCGCTACACAGCCATCCTAGAGAAGGTAGCAAAGAATCCCCTCATGGGTCAAGAACTTCAGCCCTATATGTTAAGAGAAGCCCTATATAACGTGCGGCAATGCGAGATCTTCCTTCAGGTCATTTTGGTGAGTTACATGTTTAGCTGATAAACAGGTTTTTTTTTTTTAGTACTTTCTGTAATCCAGGTTCCAACTTTTTAAACATTCTTTTCCATCATGGTTTATCATAGGATGTGGAATATAGCTCCCTGTGCTATATAGTAGGACCTTGTTTGTTGTTTATCACAACCTCCTTATATATTACGGGGTGACCAGGTCATTGATAAAGAAAGCAACGTTAATAACTGTTCAGCATGTATTGCGTCTGTAGGATCCGGGGCTGAAATGGAAGTGGGAGAGCTGGATGCTGATCTTGGTGAAGGTGTGTTGAGAGGATGTTTGGTGTTGTTGCATGGTTGCTATGGTGATGCAGGTGTATGTCTGTGCATCAGACATGTTGCATTATTTGCTTTCATTCAGAGCAAGTGTCTAACATATAGTTTGGCAGGTCGTTGGTGCTCAAAGAACTCTTATGTAATTACTTGTTCTAATTGTAAAAATTGGTGGAGAAGATTTTTTTTTTCTGCTTCTCTAGATCTAATAAACAAACCAAACACTCTCCCTGAAAAGAGTTGGAAAATATGGTATGGTAAAGTGGTGATTTTCAACTTTTTTTTTTTTAAAGCATCAGAGCCCTTTCTGATAGAAACTTACTCAGAAGAAGATTCCTTACTCCTAAAAATGTAAGGCAAGTATCTAGACAAAAGGATCAGAGGCCCTTTTCCTCAAGGAGCATTTCCAAGCCATCTGAAGATTCCAGGGACCACAGTTTGTTAACTGTGTGATGGCAGCAAACCAAGTTTCTACCCGTTACTGTTCTTTTTCCTGATTTTTCCCCCAGCTGTATTGAGGTGTAACTGACAGAGTCGCAGGATGCTTAAATTGTGCAACGTTTAGATTTGATATACCTCTGTATTCCCCCACTGAATTGAGTAACACAGCCATCCCCCTGGTCACTGCTTACCTGCACACAGCCGCTTGTTTTCCAGTACCCGTGAGACCGCAGGCTTGGTGGAACTGTGTTGTGTGCAAGTGAGCACTAACGTCTTGAGGGATACAGCAGGCTGCACTCCGCCCCCCGCTTTGTTTTCACTTGTGGTTTGGTGACTCAGGAGCACTTTGTCCATTTGTTTTGATACGGCTGTGTCTGGTCTCTGTTGCGGCACTCAGTATCCTCGCTTTCGCCGCGATGCACGGACTCTCTGCTGTGGCTTGCAGGCACAGCGGGCGCAGCGTGCAGGCTCGGGTGCACGCTGGCTTCAGCAGTCGTGGCACACGGGGTCTCTCGTTGTGGCGTACCAGCTGAGTTGCTCCACAGCACGTAGCATCCTAGTTCCCGACCAGGGATTGAACCCACGTCTCCCACCTTGCAAGATGGATTCCCAACCACTGGACCACCAGGGAAATCCCTTGATACTGCTTTTGGATGCCCTAGCTCTGCCTTCTCTCCTTACCGCCACTCCAGAGGAGAGAGAGATGACACCCAAAGACATGAATTCATGGCAACAAACTAGGAGGGGTCCTCGCAGCTGGCCTCCTCTCTGCTTGCCTTCAGAAGGGAGGACTCTAAATCAGCTCTCTGAAACCAAACCACTCTTTAGGGTAGATGTTCCCCTAATGTGGACTTGTGGCTAGCACCTTATGTAACTAGTCAGATACTAAGAGGATTTCACAGTCAGTTTTAGTGCGTAGGGGTCCACAGGAGCAGAATCTCTAATTTACTTTTGTCCTTTATGCTCAAAAGGGATATTATAAGAAAGAACTTTGGGAAGCTGTCATACATACTCTCAGGATGTCGTGGAGGATGTGTTCATTCTATAGTATCTTCTCACAGCTTTCACACATGAACCATATTCAGCCAGCTGGGTGCTGTGCCATTCTTTGGGATCTTATTTCCTCCACCAAGGATTGAACCTGTGCCCCCTGCTTTGGGAATGAGGCATCTTAGCCACTGCGCCACCAGGAAAGTCTTAAATTCCCCGACAGTCTTAAATTCTCGTTGGCGTCCTTACTCTTACGTCTATGCTAGAGGGATGGTGAGCAGCGGGTTGAAGTGGTAAGTGTGGATCTTGCAGCCAGACTTCCTAGGTTCCAATCTTGCCTTTGCTCCTTACTAAATGTGTGTCCTGCATGGAGTTGCTTGACGTCTCTGTGCCTTAGTCCTCACATCTGTAAAAAGGGGTCGGTGATGGTCCCCAGTAGGTAAATAAGGTAGAGCAGTGTCGTCAGGCAGATGAGGATGATCCTGACGACAAGCACAGTGTTTACCATCATCACCGTCAGGGCATTAGCAGAGCGGTTCTAACTTCATTCCCACAGGGGCACGAGCTGAAGGGCTCTTAGCTTTCTTGGAATATCTCCTTTCCAAACCCTTAGTTGCTCTTGTTATTGTGGAAGTTCACATTCTGACCTTAGCACTCTTCACGACTCTTTCTTACTCCCCTTAGTCAGCGTTAGAATGAGTTTTCTCAAGTTTCTGACTTTCTTGCTGCTTAATCACTGTTTCTTTTTGTTGTTTTTATTTTTATTGAGACATACTTGAATTACAGTATTAGTTTCAGGTGTACAACATAGTCATTCAAAATTTTTAAAGATAGTACTGCATTTTTAGTTATTATAGAATATTGGCTGTGTTCCTTGTGCTATAAAAATATATCCTTGTAGCTTATTTATTTTATACATTGTAGTTTTTAATCTCTTAATCCCCTATCTCTATTTTGCCCTTCCCTGTTCTGCACTAGTAGCCACTAGTTTGTTCTCTATCTGTGAGTCTTTTTTAAAAAATAATTCACTAGTCTTTTATTTTGTGGATTCCACAGATAAGTGGTAACATACAGTACTTGTCTTTCTCAATCTGACTTATTTCACTAAGCGTGATACCCTCCAGGTCCATCCATGCCATTGCAAATGGCAAAATTTCTTTTGATGGCTGGCTAGGATATGGTAGTTTTTAAAATCCAGCCTTCCCCTGTCAATCTGCCTTAGTTACGGTTTAAGGTTGATTGTTGCAGAATGGATACAATTTAATGAGTATTATTGCTAGGTTATAAAATACCTCAGTTTATATTTAGCTGAAACCTTTTCCTGTCCATGAAATCTATGAATACTCTTTTTTTAAAGTCATATTATTTGAAGAAATATTAATAAGATTTTTTGAAATATTGATTTTGATTCAAAAATTTTTCTTTTGCCAATGCTGCATTCAGTTTATGTAGACATTTGGAAAATCTAGTTGTATCCTGGGTAAGATAGTGAGTTATTGTCTTTTGATCAGGACTTTATCTGCTATAGTGAACAAATTCAAATATTCTGGAAGAGAAAGGAAGGGGTGATTGCAGTCTTGCTGACTGTCTTAGCTGAAAGAACAGAATTCCACCCTCTGTGGGCTTTTGATGAGCGCGGCAGTTACCAAAGAGAGAAAGCCACTTATTGTTATTGTACCAGTAAAAATTGCATGACATACAACATTTCTTAAAATATATAAGTCAAGACTTTTGTATGCTTCCTCTGCCCAGGCTGTGTTTGCAGGGCCATTTACAGAATAGATTACACAGGGCTTCTTGATTTTTCTGAAAATATAAGTAAAATGTCAGTTAGGTGGAATTTGTGCTTGTTTTAGATTTGTTGGAAAATGTTCATAGAAGAAAGTATGAGAAGCTTATAATTTAAAAAGTGGGGGAGAGGAAGAATAATGCTAGGTACGCATGCTTTCCCCAAGCATTTTTTGGACTGCACTATGAAAAGAAAGTTTGTGACTTTATTCTTGTTTTTTTTGCCTCCAACAATCTCATTAGAAATAGCTTTGTGTTAGGATGCTGTCAAGTTCATGGTGGCAGATACAAGTTTTTCAAAATGTGAATTTTATCATGGATAACAAAAACTATCCTTTTCCCGAAATGACGGACTCATGTCGTTGACTCTCAGAAAACTATCTGCCAATAGATAAGGCTCAAAAATCATAGTTTGTCTGCCAGTTGTTCTTTTCATATAAAAATGCTTTTCTGCTAGCGAGAGGAGAAAAAGGCTAGTTCAGCTCGCAACCCAGTCATGTAAGAGAACTATGTGTTTTAATATGAAGGATAGCTTGGTTGGTAAAGAATATGCCTGCAGTGCAGGAGACCCCGGTTCGATTCTTGGGTCAGGAAGGGATACCCTACCCACTGGAGAAGGGATAGGTTACCCACTCCAATATTCTTGGGCTTCCCTTGTGACTCAGCTGGTAAACAATCTGCCTGCAATGCGGGAGACCTGGGTTCGATCTCTGGGTTGGGAAGATCCCCTGGAGAGGGGAAAGGCTACCCCCTCCAGTATTCTGGCCTGGGGAATTGTATAGTCTGTATCGTCCATGGGGTCTATAGACCTGTATAGTCCATGGGGTCACAAAGAGTTGGACATGGTTGAGTGACTTTCACTTCCACTTTCACAGAAGTGTTTTATGTATACTTTCTATTTAATCTGATTGTTAAAAAACTATGCACATAAAGATCAAAATTCAATAAAGTTAATACTTCTTACTGCAATATCAAGGATAGTGAAAGGATAGTGAAAATAGCTTTTTTAAAAATTGAGATACAATTGACATATTATATTTGTTTCAGATGTATAAGATAATGATTCCATATATGTGTATATTGCAAAATGGTGACCATAATAAATCTAGTTAAACTCTTCAGCACATATAGTTACAGTTTTTTTTTCTTGTGATGAGAACTTTTAAGAGCTCCTCTCTTAACAACTTTCAAGTGTACCATACGGTTTATGAACTTCAGTCATAGTCACCATGCTATGTGTTATTTCCCCGTGACATATGTCTTATACGTGAAAATGTGTACCTTTTGATCCCCTTCACCCATTTTGCCCACCTCATCCGCCCACCAGTGGTAATTACCAATCTGTTCTCTGTATCTATGAGCTCAGTTTTTTTTTAAAAAAGATTCCACATATATCAACAAGGTCCTATTATAGAGCACAGGGAACAATATCCAATACATTGTAATAATCACGGAAAAAGAACCTGAGAAAGTTGTATATGTGTAACTGGATCACTTTCTGTATATCAAAAATTAACACAAAATTGTGAATCAACTATCCTTCAATTTTAAAAAATTCCTCACATAAGTGAGATTATACGACGTTTGTCTTTGTCAGACATACTTCCCTTAGTGAGATTCCTGCAGGCTTAATTCACGTTGCTGCAAATGGCAGGGTTTCCTTGTAAATGATGCTGCAGTGAATATGGGGGCACATATGTCTTTTTGAGTTAGTGTATTCATTTTCTTCAGATAAGTACCCAGAAATGGAATTGTTGGGTCATACAGTGGGTCTATTTTAGTTTTTTGAAGAACCTCTCTGCAAATTCTCCATACTGGCTGCACTGAGTTAGGTTCCCATCAGCAGTGCACAAGTGTTCCCTCCCCCCATCTTTGCCAATGCTTGTTCTTTCTTGTCGTTTTGATAGTAGCCATTCTGTCAGATGTGAAGTGATACATCATTCTGGTTTTGATTTGCATTTTCCTGGTGATTAGTGATGCTGAGCAATTTTTCATGTATTTGTTGCCCATCTATATGTCTTCTTTGGAAAAATGTCTATTCAGATTCTTTGGCCATTTTAAAATTGTATTGTTTGTTTTTCCTAGAGTTGTATGGGTTTTTTAATACATTTTTGATCAGGTACACAATCTGTGAATATTTCTTCCCATCCCACTGGCTGCCTTTTCGTTTGATTGATGGTTTCCTTTTACTGTGCAGCTTTTCAGTTTGATACAGTTCTACCTGTTGATTTTTGCTTTTGTTGCCTTTGTTCCTGGTGTCGGAAAAAAGAAAACGTCACCAAGACTGAGGTCAAGACTTCACTGCTTATGTTTTCTTGTAGGAGTTTTCTGTTTTCAGGCCTCACGTTCAAGTCCTTCATTCACTTTGAGCTGCGTTGTGTGCGGTGTAAGACCGTGGTGCAATTTCACTCCCTGCGGGTGGCTGTGCACCTTTCCCAGCACCACTTCCTGAAGAGGCTGTCCTCTCTCCGTTGTAGATTCTTGGTGCTTTGCGGTAAACTCATTGACTGTGTATGTGTGGGTTGTCTCTGCGCTGCAATTTCACTCCCTGCAGGTGGCTGTGCAGCTTTCCCAGCACCACTTCCTGAAGAGGCTGTCCCCTCTCCGTTGTAGATTCTTGGTGCTTTGCAGTAAACTCATTGACTGTGTATGTGTGGGTTGTCTCTGCGCTCTCTGTTCTGTTTCATGGGCCGACGTGTCTGTTTTGATGCCAACACCATGTTGCTTTGATGGCTGTGACTTTGTGACTTTGTGACTTTGCAGTAGTTTGAAACCAGTTAGCACGATGCCTTCTGCTTTATTCTTCTCTCTCAAGATGCTTTGGCTGTTTGAAGTATTTTGTGATTCCATACAAATGTGAGGATTATTCATTATATCTCTGAAAATGCCATTGGAATCTTGACAGGGATCATATTGAATCTGCAGGTAGCTTTGGGTAGTAGGGTCGTTTTAACAGTATTAATTCTTCTCATCCCGGAGCACGGAGGGTTTTTCTTCCTTTATTTATGAGGACTTGCTTTGCAGTTAAAATTCTACATAGTTGTGAACAAGTTCTTTTCGGTAAAATATAAACAGTGTGATTGTTCTAGGACACTGTCAGGAAAAATCAAGAACTTCTGTGTGCCTGATCTGTAGATGGAGCCTACGGGCATAGCTTGGGGGAGCAGGTCTGGAGTAGCTTTACTTAATGCATCACACTGCTTAAAACCTGTAAGTAAAGCTACTCCAGGCCTACTGGAGCAGGCAGATTTGTTTCTGGTTGTTTGTATACAAATCTAAATAAGTTAAGGACTGCATTTTCATATTTTGATTTCTAAAACAAAGCTAGCAGTCAAGGGGGAAGAACAGAAGGGTAGACAGGAGACTTATTAGATAGGATAAATTATATATAAATTATTATTATAATTTTGAGAAAATATTTATAAAATTATAATAAATAAATAATGGGAGAATGAGGAAAGAGGAGGAGAGATGTTTAAAGAATAGCACAGGTAAAATTAAAACAGGATACATATTATATAAGTGAATGAAAAAAATTCATTAGTTGAAATGCAGGGCTAATATTTGATATTTCTTATAATTATTTTTTGTCATTTAAAAATACTCTAGTAAAGCATGTCGTTAGGCTACAGATATCTGAGAACTCAAATGCAGCTTTTTTTCTCTTCCAGTAATTGTAACTCTTGAACACTGTTGGTGCTAATTAAGCTACACACCGCCGTTTCTGGTCACAGCTTGGGGTGGGAGCCAGGGGCTCAGGTGGTCTGGTGTGGAGCCGTGATTCTGTCCCTCATTTGCTCTGTGTCCTTCGGGCAGTTTACTTGCCTTTCTGTGCCTTGCTTCACTTATTTGTACTTTCCTCTTTTTGTACTTGTAAATATTTATTGTGGGGCTTATGTGTCACAGGATCTGCTGCTTAGAAATGCAGTTATGCTGAGTATCAAAGAGTACCTGTATACATTTGAGAAAAATTATAGCCGTTGTACTTCAAAGGGCTCATCTATCCATCAGACGTTTCTGGGGCCCTGTTCATGTGTTAGCACTGTTCTTGGTGTTCAGGATACCCCAGAGAGCAGAATCCTTGCCCTCACTGAGCTCCCCTTCAGGAGATGTGGGGAGCAAGTAGGGCTTAAGACATACATAATTGTGTAGCAAAATATTCATGCAAATTATGTTGTCTTCACAGTCAGATATAATCACCTGTGCTCAAGAAGTGGAAATGATGATAAAGCAGTTAGAAGCGCAGCTGGAACAATTAAAACTGACTGTAAAGTCAAAGACAGCCGTCCCAACATCACAAGTCTTTGTAAGCATTGGTCATCAGCTTTGAAACTTGTTTAAGGGTGAATGAACTTTGAAGTCCCATAAAATTGGATTGAAAGTAATTTTAATTGTATTTAATATGGAAAATGTAATACTAGTTTTATACAAGTTGATCCTGCTCTTTTTGCTTATTTTGTCATTAATAACCATAAAACTCAGTTGTTGTAAGTTGAATGAGAGGATTTGCTTAGTAAGCAATTGCTACCAAAGTACATGATACCAGTATTGTCTGTCCGTTGAATTTCTATGATTCTATTGTCTAACTTCACGAGACGTTCACTTGTCTTACGAAAGAATCAATCGCTTTATCACAGCAGAAGTTCGTGTGTGTTTTGGGGAGTGGTTCATGGTTTTATTAAACGGCGGCGTTTTGTGTCTCCTCCGCAGCCTGTCTTCATCGCGCTCTCCAACCTGTGGACTAGTTTCCAGGATGAAACTGTCTTGATTAGCGTCCTGAGTAACTTAACTACTCATCTTGAGCCGTTCCTGGGGGCTCATGACCTGTTCTTTCCTGAGAAAGTGATGCAAGCTCTTCTTGACGGAGTGACCGTGAAAACTGACGTGTGTAGAATAAAAGAGCACATAGGTAATAGAATTCATCTATTATTTCCTCTTCCTGTTAAAATTACCTCTGGAATAAAGTCACTCTTTTGTTTTAAAATTTTCAGCTTTTATCTTTTTGATAAAATTTTGAATATCTTTCTTGCTTATAAGACTACCAATGTTCATTATAGAAAATGTAGAAAACTGTAAATATATAAACTGAAGAGTTTGCTATTCAGCAATGTCCACTGGACCATAAAGAAGGCTGATGCTGAAGAATTAATTCTTTCAAACTGTGGTGTTGGAGAAGACTCCTGAGAGTCCCTTGGACTGCAAGGAGATCCAACCAGTCCATCCTAAAGGAGATCAGTCCTGGGTGTTCGTTGGAAGGACTGATGTTGAAGCTGAAACTCCAGTACTTTGGCCACCTCATGCGAAGAGTTGACTCGTTGGAAAAGACCCTGATGTTGGGAAAGATTGAAGGCGGGAGGAGAAGGGGACGACAGAGGATGAGATGGTTGGATTTCATCACCAACTCAATGGACATCAATTTGAGCAAACTCCAGAAGATAGTTAAGGACATGGAAGCCTGGCATGCTGCAGTCCCTGGGGTCACAGAGTCAGACATGACTTAGGAACCGAACAACAATAACCATTCCTGATGTTATTATTAGTGTTTTGATTAAGAGTGATTTCATGTGCATATGGGTTTCAGCTGTAGTCTTAGTGATTCTGTTAATTGGTTTGTAGTAAAAAAGGATGTTAATCCTTGCTCTATTTGTGCAAACAAAGCTCCATTTTCTCAGGATGCTGTCTGCCATATGTCTACCCCAGATTCAGGTGGATATTTATGAATCAATAAATGTTACTCCTGTAAAATTGAGCTTATTTTAGACCCCTTAATAGATGCACCGATTCTTATAGAAAGGCTGTCTTTACCAATAAACTTCTTTCTATATTTTTAGCCCCTTCTATAATTTGGTTAAATACAACTCAAAATTCATAAGAAATGTCAAAATAGAGTTGGGGAATTGAATTGTTGCCTAAAAAGGAAAGTTTTTCAAGAAAGTGAAATTAAATAGTTTACTCTAAATTTCCTTTTTAAATTTTATTGTTTTTGAATTTGAAAAATAAAATGAAGTGGTAACACTCACTCTTAAACTACTAGGATACATAAAACCTGAACACTAAGTCAGAAAGACTTTAAAACATCCTCCCAGTTAAAGTTTTCCTACTTATGTCATTTTGTTAAAACAGCATATCTATGCAAATATTAAATGAAATTGAAAAGCTAAAGCCACTTCAGCAGTAGATATTAAACTCAGCCATATTGGCAAGATGTGTCATCTCCTGCTATAAATCAGAATTGTTTATGCACTAGAACACAATTTATCAAGTCACTGCTCCAGTGAATTGGGAGACCCAGTGTTCTGAAAAAATTTATGCTGCCACATCCCATCACTGTTTGACGCTTTCAGGCACATCAGGAAAAAAGAGGGAAGAGGGTTTGTTTTTTCTAAAGTATGCATTTACTTCCAGCTGTAGCCATGGGATCATTTATAGTGTCTACTGTTTGGATACAGAGCCAGAAACAGGAGTGTAGGTAGCATTGCAAAGGCAAAGAAGCTCTAGCATCAGTGCTTTGTAAATGCTCATTTTTACTTGTGTAAAAAAAAAAAAAGCAACATGAAGATTTTTTACAAGTGTAAAGAACAAGAATTGCACTTCTTGTATCAAAATTAAGTTACTAAGAGATGTTTCTGTGACTCTTTCTGCTCATTCTCAACCATTTCAAGAAGAGACAGTCCTAGTATATAAGCATCACATTCAAAGTATTTTGCCACCGTGCATATTATGTTAGTAAGAGCTACGCTGTCTTGAAAGAAGTTAATTTATTTCTGTTTTAGTCACATAGCAGCCAGTCTCTTGGCTCATTTGCCAAATGAATAAGCTTTCTCTTGTACTCCTCTTTCATTTTAGAAGATAGAGTAAATGCGGCAGATTTCAAAAAACTGGAGTGGCTTTTCCCAGAAACAACAGCCAATTTTGATAAATTATTGATTCAATATCGGGGATTTTGTGCTTACACTTTTGCTACAACAGATGGTCTTCTCCTTCCAGGTACATCATTGGAAATAATACTGTTCTCCCTTCTCCAATTTTTTTTTTAATTTAATTGAAGTGTGCTTATTGTCACTCATTCACTTTGTAAAACTTCATGGAATCTAATGTTGAACTAGGAAAGGAGCTACAAATGTGATTCAAACAAAGTATTTATCTTTGAAGCGCTTGCAGCATAACCTGATAACTGACATAAATAAGTTACGATGCAAGTGATAAGTGATGGAATGTATATAATGAAATATGAGTGCTGCAGTGTCATAAGAGGGGGATGACTCATATGTCAGTGAAGGATTCCAGAAACATTATATGGCATTCCTAAAATATGTCATCTTCCAAAGTGATTACTTGAAAGAGCAACACTAGTGTGACTGATGTTTATTAAAAAATATTCTTTGTCACTTTATGGCTCTATCCCATTAACATAGATCAGTATTTCTGTGGAAGTCAGATCTCACTAAAGAAATGGCCAGTGTTTTATCAAGTCAAATTCCCCTATGAGGTATATGTATTACAGAACTTCTCCAAAATGAAATAAATCAGAAATTGAGAGGAAAGTAAATTATTGTTCAAAAAGTGCCGTGTGAATTAGAAATAGAATTATTACAAAGAATTATTGGGATTGTGTGTATGCAGCGTAGAGAATATAGACATTGACTGATTTTTTTATGGTAGTAGATTTTTTTATTATGGGAATAATAAAAGGTTTACCTTGGGGAACTGAAAGAATAGTATTCTGAGGTCCCTTGAGGGTCGCTGATCCTGGGGAGAAACCAAACAAGAGCCATGAAGAAGTGAAGAGAAGAAATGGAGGTGGCTTCTTTCTTTCCTGTTCTCTTTTTTCCTTCCCTTCCCGCCCCCCCACCCCAATTTCTCTCTCTCTCTCTCTCTCTCTCTCTCTCTCTCTCCCCACAAATACACAGGGAAGGGAGTCATGAGATAGAAACATGGATGCGGAGTGAAGCGAGCGGTACCTCCGTGTGGCTGGAAAAGCTATGGACCTGCGCATAGAGAGCCTGGTTTCTAGTCCCCATTGTCTGTTAGTAAACAGTAACTTTGAGCAAACCTTGTGCGTTGGACCCCAGTTTCCAGGTCCAGAAAAGGAGAAGGACCAGCTAGGAAACCTCTCTGGTCCCTTCCAGCTCCCATCAACTGGGATTCTAAGAAAGGAGGAGAGTGAGAAGGGTAGACAGACTTGCGGGGCTTTGGGTTTTCGCCTCTTTTCTGAACCAGCGAGTCTGGAGACCTCATTTCTGCCTGTTGCGCTGCTTCTCCTTCTCCACCGCTCCCTGGGCAGGAGGCGCCCCGCTGCCTGGGAGGAATGCTTGGGAGCCCCTCCGCCTCAGGACTGCAGATCGCAGGGCTTGACTCCGCAGGCGATGCTGGGGCTTACCCGACAGAGTCCTTTCAGATGCCATCGTTGACTTCATGTCTGCCCCTTCTTCCCTAGCGCCCTGCTCCGGCCCACTGGCCTTCTTGCTGTTCCCGAGCCTTCCAAGCCCCTCAAAGCTTTTGCGCTGACTATTCCCTCTGCTCGGACCACTCTCCCCCGCCCCCACAGAGCTACGTGCCTTGCTGCCCCGTCTTATTCAGCCTTCTCTGTTCACCCAGTTTAAAGTATGGATCCCACCCTCCTTCCTCCGACTGTTTAGCCTGCCTCGTTACTTACTCGTTCTCTGTAGCACTGATCACTCAGAACCTGTGCTGTGTTTATTGATTTGTTTTCACTGTATCCTCAATGCCAGCCACGGGTCAGTCAGTATTTGTTGAATAAGTGAAAGAATGAGTAATTAAAAAGTGTTACTGTTTCCTATATAATTCCACACACTGTGGATACTTATAACCCATATTTTATGTAGTATCTTTTCATAGTGGGAAATACTTCCTAACATGCAAGTGTACATTTGGGGGAAAATGTCTCATTTTTGTAGCTCTTACCAAATTATTTTTAAAACAATGCTTCTAGTAGTTGGTTTAAGGAGATTTGGAAAAACCTGCTAGATGACTAAGTGGCTTCACATAGGAGATTTTTAAGCAGCTTATATCTGGATAGTGAACTATATTTAGATAAAATCATAATTTAAAGCTTAACAATATGGTACTTCCCTGGCAGTCCAGGGTTAAGACTCCAGGCTTCCAATGCAGGGGGCACAGTTTCAATCCCTAGTCAGGGAACGAAGATCCTGTATGTGGCATGGTGTGCTACCCCCCCAAATTAAAAATATAAAACAAATTTCTTTTGAATTTTACATAAATGTAATTTAACAAAATGTGTAACTTAAAACTGCTAGTTGTAGCATTTTAGCTGAATAAAGACACGTGATGTGTTAAAAATGGAGTATGAAGGAAGGGTTCCATGAGTGTAAATATTATAACATAGAATCACTGAGTACTTCCCATCTAATTTAGTTCCTTTTCGTAATTTTCAGGAAATCCATCAATTGGAATTTTGAAATATAAAGATAAGTATTATACTTTCAATACCAGAGATGCTGCATATTCATTTGCAGAAAACCCTGAAAATTACATTGATATAATTAGAGAAAAAGCCAAAAAAAATGCAGAATTGATTCAGCTACTGGAACTTCATCAACAGTTTGAAACACTTATTCAGTATTCTCAGGTAAGCAGGGTTGGCGTTTTAAGAATTTATGACATTTAAGAATGTAGTTGATAAAAAAGTTACATTTTGTTGTAGAATGCTCCCCAAGTCCAGGCAGGAGACACGGTCAGATGAGGGCCTTTACAGGTTATCTGAAAGGCGTTCACATCCCAAGATGGAAACGAAGGAAATCCACAAAGAATAAGTGAAAACAAGATAAGGAGTCAGACTGATGAATTAGGCTGGAAAAATTCTGGAAGGACAAGACTACATTGGGATAAATCATTGAAACTACAGCATTTCTTTGTCTAAACTGAAGGAGCTCAGTACGAGGAATACAGGTGCTAACTCATGCTCAGAGGTGTGAGATCAGTTAGCAGGTTTAAGTGGCAGCAGTTTGAAGGCCGCAGAGTGAATCTGAAGGCATGTTTCTGTGTGAGCTGGTGCCTGTCCCCTAGTGCATTCAATGGACATGTCCTGAACTGCTGGCCGTGTGCCGGGCACGATTCTTGGCGCCGTGAGCAGAGCGGGAACAGTCCCTGCCTGCAGGCATTCCCGTTCTGCTGCTGCCGATCCTCATTTTCTCCTTGCCTCTCATTTTCACTGTTCGGGTTTTAATTGCTCTGTCATCCTCTCTGGTTTAATTTACCCCTTTTCAACTCACTAAAGTAAAACCCTGCAATACATAATTTATGAATTTTTTAAGAAGTATCAACATTCTAATGATCAAGCAGGTGGGTCTGGGCCGGACTCGCTGGGCTGGCAAGGACCGCAGCGGTAATCGGTAGGAGGAAGATGGGGCTAGGGATGGTGAGGCACGGAGGGGGTCTGAGTGCTTGGGCCAGGAGCCCGAGAACCAGCCAGGGATGACGTGGTTGAAAGGCATCTGCCATTGGCGCTCTAGTTCTGACGCCCTTCCGCCAGCCTGCTGAGACGCTGCGGCTGTCCTTTTAAGGCAGCAGGAAGACAGGGAAAGGCTAGACTCAGGTGATCAGAAAGGTGTGCTGAGTGTGGATGTCTTTTCTATTAAAGAACAATTTCCCCCTATATTCCTGGTTTTCCCTTTCTGTGCACTTAATCCTTTATTAACCTTCACTACCGTTAGAAGTGAATATTCCCTCTCCATATTTCAATACTGTATTCATAATTTTTACTTGCCGTTTACTTGTATTGATATAATATTGTTATCTTTCAGCATCTTTTAATCTCCCTAATTATATCATAAGGTCATTTTGAAGGCAGAAGTTATATCTTATGCTGAATAGTAGGCACTTGGTAAATCATCTGTTTCTTGATGAGGGGAAAGAAGTCAATCCATTTGCCCTCCTCTTCTCTAGGACTGGAGTTTCTTAAGCCTCCCCACCTGCTCCAGCACCCTCATTTCCAGTATAATCATGACTTGTTCAGCCTGGAATTACTGAATACTCAATAGTTCAGTACTGTAGTGAGCTTCCGGGTGCTTTGGCAGAAAAATGAATGTATTCAACTAAAATGGATAATACTCTGCTCTGTATACATTCTTTAAGATATATTCTAAAGGTGTTCTGATACTTTAAACAAGCGTGATTTATACCTAGTACTTAATAGCTATTATAAGCTTCAAGCCATTTCCAATAAGGTGTTCACTTATGCTTCACATTGTGAAAACTGGAGAAGGGCATTTGATTTGGGAACAAGTGATGTCATGTTTTATCCTTTCAAAATATACCTCCTACATTAAGTTCATAAAATCGGGCACAAATTCACAATGCCCGGGAAATTAATTACATTTGGCTCACTTTAATTATGAGCTTTTCTTTTTTTTTCTTTGCTGATATTTACAAGTATGTTTTATATTCTTCTTTTCCTAATGTTTTGTTAATCTTAGCTAAATATTTTAGTTATCTGTAAAATGTTTATTTTTTTAGAAATATTAATTATAAAACTGTACTTCTTTAGACGAAAGGGGTTGACAAACGTTATATAAAACCAATTACAAAATGTGAAACTGGCACCCAGACGGATACGCATTTGTTGCCACCAACAATTGTGAGATCATATGAGTGGAATGAATGGGAATTAAGAAGAAAAGCTATAAAATTGGTTTGTAACAATATTATCTTCTAAATTATTTATAGTTGGAGAATTTTGAAGAATTTTAATCTGTTATTCATAGAGTTGGTATGCTAAATTATTTACATGAAATAGTGAGTTATACAGTTTTTTTGCTAAAATAAAAATAATTAGCATAATTTATGATTTTCTAGCTTTACAACATTATCTTCTAGTATTAAGCATATGTAGAAATATAAAAGCATGAAGCTGCTCTCAAATTTTATCAGTCAGTAACTATAACAATAATAGTTGCTGTCCTTCTGTTTCTCTATTGATCTATATAATGGTTTTAATCTATTGTGCCAACCTATGGGGTGCTGGAGAAGGCAATGGCACCCCACTCCAGTCCTCTCGCCTGGAAAATCCCATGGACGGAGGAGCCTGGTGGGCTGCAGTCCATGGGGTCGCTAAGAGTTGGACACGACTGAGCGACTTCACTGTCACTTTTCACTTTCATGCATTGGAGAAGGCAATGGCAACCCACTCCAGTGTTCTTGCCTGGAGAGTCCCAGGGACGGGGGAGCCTGGTGGGCTGCCGTCTATGGGGTCGCGCAGAGTCGGACACGACTGAAGCGACTCAGCAGCAGCAGCAGCAAGGGATGCTAGTATTTAAAGCCCTCCAGCTTCTTCTAATCATTTAAAGCATACTCTTCTCCTTTTTGGACTTTCTTGAGAAGCAGAAATATACCTCTATTATATCACAGATACGTCCTCCTCTTATTGTCAACTTGTTGTTTTCAGACACTTGACACGCCTGTCCTTCTGATTCTTAGTCATCTTAATCACAGCCGGTACCTACCCTTGAGGGCTTCCCAGGTGATGCTAGCGCTAAAGAACCCGCCTGCCAATGCAGGAGACGTAAGAGATGCAGGTTCAACCCCTGGGTCGGGAAGATCCCCTGGAGGAGGGCATGGCAACCCACTGCAGTGTTCTTGCCTGGAGAATCCCAGGGACAGAGGAGCCTGGAGGGCTGTAGTCCTGGGGGTTGCAAAGAGTCGGACACGACTGAAGTGACTTAGCGCTCAGGCATGCACCTACCCTGGAAGTCTGTCTTTAAAACTTTCATCCTATCTGACTCAGCGGAATTCCCTCCACTCATCCTTGGTATAGTATCTTGTCATTTTAAACAGCAAATATGGTGTGAAGGAACAGACTCTTTTTTATCTGTAGCCTTTTCTCAGTATATTTTACCCATCTCTTTAACTGAAATCAGGTATGGAAATAAAGACTACTCATGTGAGAACAGAGGCTATTTATTTAAAGACTGCTGCATCCAGGGAGTCAGTCACCATCACTTGCACTGGGCAGGGACTCAGAGTTGGGGAGAGGAGTGAAAAAGTTTTATAGTGAAGAAGGGGGAGGCTTGGGTATTCCTCTGGAGGAAGATGACAGGAACCTCAGTACAGTTCGGTCCCTCAGTCATGTCTGACGCTTTGCAACCATGGACTGCAACACACCAGGCCTCCCTGTCCATCACCAACTCCCAGAGCTTGCTCAGACTCATGTCCATCAAGTCGGTGATGCCATCCAACCATCTCATCCTCTGTCATCCCATTGTCTTCCTGCCCTCAATCTTTTCCAGCATCAGGGTCTTTTCCAGTGAGTCAGTTCTTTGCATCAGGTGGCCAAAGTACTGGAGCTTCAGCATCAGTCCTTCCAATGAATATTCAGGACTGATTTCCTTTAGGATGGACTGGTTGGATCTTCTTGCCATCCAAGTGACAGAAAACTAGAGGGGGGCTAACTCGAGGTGGGCTAGCTAGCAGCAGGGCATCTTATGTGATTGGCTTAGTGAGCATTTTAGGCTTTCTCCGATTGGTTCAGCGTTGGAAGGGGAGGCAGCTGAGCTGATCGCTGCAGCTACCGAGGTTGCGTCTCTCTTCTGAGACTGGTTGCTGCAGAGGTTGTCGGTTGGAGCTCTGTCACATGAGGCCCAGCCTGTCTGTCTGTCTGTCCAGTCTCCCTTGTCACTAACCGTACCAGTTCCCTTGCTCCCCTCTCTGGTGGGAACTTCTCAGCCCTGATTTCTCGAGATGAGACAGCTTCAGCTTCCTGGTGTATCTTCCGATCGTCGTCCATTAGCGTCCTCAGCAGGTACTCTCTCGTAGCTCTTGAAGCTCCCATTCCCTGTATTCCTTTCTGTTACCTACTAGACTTGCACGAAGTCATCAGATGCGTACTGGGTAGCTTACATACCCCGCCGCTTTGTTCTTCAGGAACTGAGTCTAGCAGGTGACACTGATGCCCTTCTGTTAAGTGGTTTAACAGAAGCGAAGTGAAAATTCTACCCCACTGACAGAGGTGGCATATTAAGTTGGCCTTGAGAGACAGATAGGCAATGGGGAAAAGGGGAGTGGTGGTTGGTCAGACTGTGAGAAGTAAATGTTAGATCTGGGCTGGAAATTTTAAAAAGATAACGGAGTGCTCAGTGGGGCGGAACTTTGTATTGACTGGACCCTCTCTTCTCAGTCTTCAACTTCATTCTGATCCCCACCTTAGATCAAATTACCCCCCGATTTGCAGCATGTTGAATGCCAGCTCCCCATATATTACCCAGTACAACTTGTTGATAAGACAAAACTGAGTATATGGCTTACAGTGATACGGGAAACCACCCCTTCAGCGGAGCTTTGCAGGGTCTCGGAGTGGGGAAGGGCAAGGTCAGGATTTATTGAGACTGAAGTTTAGTTGAAGGTAGGTGTTCCAGTGCCTGGGATCAGTCGGGGGATGAGTTGTGGGCTTGAATTGGGTTGGGTAGAGATCATGAAAAAGCAGTCCAGGATTGATGGAAGTAAGCAAGCTGAATCTGAAGGCAGCTGATACAGAGTCCTGGGGCTGCTTCTCTGTGTTAATACTTACTGCTGAAGAGCTGAGGCGTCTTTCAGGACGCTCTGCAACCAAGTCAAGTGATTTGCTTTGGCCGGAGACTCTCAGAATAGTAAAATTATGCTAATGAAGGCAGGAGCAGTAAAGCCCTACTGATGTAGACAGTGAGTTGTGTGCAGAAGTAGTTCTCCATCATCTGCAGCATCTCAAACTCTGAAATGTTTCCTCTAATTCTAGGTCTCTCCTTCTTCACTCACATGTTCTAATCCCTTCTGAGTTTTTTCCTGGGGCTTCACCACAGCTTCAGTAAACCCTTCTTCTCCTTTATATAAGCTCTTCCATGCTTCCCAGCTGGAGTAATCTGTTTAACCTCATGTTTACTGCTAATCTGTAAAAGGAGTAAGCAAAATGTAGAATAATATAAAATATTATCTGGAAACATCTGAGCATTTCAAATTAAGTGTTGGGTGAAGCCCATTTAAGTAAGACAATGGAAATCTTAACATTTTTGTCTTTTAAACAAATAAACCAAGAATGGTGGGGAAAAAAATCCAAGTGGTATGACTCTCAAAGTGTAATAATGAATTGAGCTCACTGTACATTTGAATCTGTATGTTTTTCACTTTAGGTTTTTATGTCTATTTTCGTTTATCTATTTTCCTACTTCTCAGCAAAGGGTATTTATTTCCTAATATGCTCTAAATTGTCTAATATTTTAATGATTTGTAGAAACATGCTGTGTTGTAGGACTAATTTCTTTGTGGATGGAGAGGAGGGGGAAGAAAAAGGCAGATATTAGCTATACCTTAGAGTAAAAAGCAGATATTAACTAGTATCTTAGAGTATTTTATTTGTTCTTTAGAGGAGTGTTCATTCCCGTGTAATTCTCTTTCCACTTAGGCCAATTTGCGTCGGAAAGTCACGCACTCCGTGCAGACTGATCACAGTCACATGAGGAGAGAAAACTGTTCTCAGGTCTACCGTTCGAAGACCGTCGGCACGCAGTCACTGCGGGACGGCTGCAGCCGCGTGCCGCGGCCCCAGATCTACATCGCTGGTCTCCGCGGGGGCCAGACCAAGGCCACCCACGGAGTCAGGGTGAACCTAACTAGAGCGGTTGATGAAACCTAGTTAGAGCCCGAGGTTTCGATGTAGATACCACTAACTTATGGACAGTGGCAAATATTTAAGAGTACGTTTGCATCCGTGAAAATTCACTGATTTGGGGGGCGGGGGTGCTGGTACATTCATTGGTGGTATGAATGTTTTTGGATTCTCATTTATATGCACTGTCAAAACTCCTACAAAAAAGGGCACGTTGTTTTCTGTAATGCATTTTTCATTCTATTAAAATTGAAAGGTAAACTCTGTTCATTCCTCTTTGACTTCTAAGAAACCGTTTAGCAGCATTGAGACTGAAATTATTAGATATTAATATATTAAAATATGATTAGATATTTATATATAAGATTATTATGCTTGGGATGGAAATTTATTTAGATAACTTTGTATACATTAATAGCAGATTATTATGCCTGGGATAGAAGTTTATTTCTAAAATCACGTTTAATGTTGAACATTAAAAAATATAAATGTAGTTAACAGTTTCAGCTTCATTAGCTATCCAATGTAACATGAATTAAATTGATATAAGACTTCATTAATTTGGAACAGTTAGAACAAAGGCCCAAATGATGTTTTTATTTTTATTTATTTATCCCAATTGAGGTCTTGATTTTAATACTTCAATATTGCTTTACTCAGATTATTTTATCTGTTTATCTTTTACCCAGCACGAATTTGTTGAACACTTCTTCATTTTTTTTAACCTCTCATCTCTCTTTTCTAATTGTAATAGTACTTAAAATGTAATCTTAAATCACAGCTGTGATCACGTGATCTCTTTTAAAATCTGGAACTTTCACATGGAGTCTGGCCTCTGGCCCCTTGAAAAGACTGGACTATCGGGCAGCACTCGGCCAGCCTTCTGTAAGCGGTGACTGTGCCCTTTCGTAGGGCGGGTGCATCTGGTTGCATCTTAGGGAGCAGGTGCAGCTCCCGCAGCCTCCCGGGGCCCCCACTCCACCCCTTCGCCCTGTCTGCCTGACTGCACAGGCAGCTGTGTTTCAGGCCCCTGTGAATTACTGATAGCTGACTTTCAGAGCCGTTGTTGTGCCGCCTTACAGACTCCCGATACACATGGATGGGTAATGAAGGCTCTCAGATGGAGGGGCTGTTAAAACTTGCCTCGAAAACAAAACAAAACAAACAAACTTGCCTCGGCCGCTGGGGGTCATTTGACTTAGGTAACTCTAACTAAGGGGTTTGTATAGTTTGTTTTCTGCATAGGTTAAATGTTGCTTATATTAATAGCATGATATGCTTCAAAATCCATTTTCCACATATATTATAGAGGTAAATTTCAAAAAACAGATCTGCTTCTCAGTTGTCATGATTTTCATACCTATAGTTTAATTTTTTAATTGAAGTATAGTTGATTTACAATGTTAAGCAAAGGGATTCACTTATATCTTTTTTATATTCTTTTCCATTATGGTTATCATAAGATACTGAATTTAGTTCCCTCTGTTATACAGTAGGACCTTGCTGTTTAATCATACCTGTCATTTGAAAGTGATGTTAAAGATAGGGTGGCTGGCTGTTGAGGCAAAAACCCTGGGGGCGAGAGTGGGGGTGGGAGGGCTCCGTCCCTGAAGACGGTGGGATGATTAAAGGTAGTACTAACCTTTACAAATTCAGGAATTTGATTTTACCTAATCAACCCTCTTTTGATCTTACAAGATTCTTAAACACAGAAAGGATGGCCGATAAACCACAGTTTAGGGCTCTGAAGTTAGGGCTGAAAGCGGAATTGCCAAGCAAATAAAAACACGAAATACGATTTGAAAAGCTAATATCAGAAAGCCGCCTGGTAAGAATAAAAGACTCAGAACAAAGGGAGCTAGGTCACAAGGTCAAGTCGGCCTCTCCAGGTCCTCTCTGAATTGTCTGACGTGTTGGGCCCAGTGTCAGCTGCTCAGCACCATTTCTGCAGGCCCTAGCCGAATTCATTTTCTCTGCCAAGCTTGTTTCTCCCTCTGTATTTCCTTCTGTGGTCAAAGGCATCACCACCCACTCAGCATAAATTAAAAACTTCTGGACTGCCTCCCACAGCCCCTACACTTAACCAGTCATTGCACCTTGTTGATTTGGCTTCAGCTGCCTTTGAGATCTGTGTCTTCCTAGTCTTACTGCTGTTGTCATAATTTAGGATTTAGAACTATTGCCTGATTCACCAGCATAATTTTTGTAACATACAAATCTGATCAGATCACCTGGCTCCCTCCCCACCAAGCCTCACTCCCCTTACTTAAAAGGACACTTTTTTCATTATCTAGGGGATAAAGTAAAAATTCCTTAACACGTGAGACTTTTCAAAATATATCCCTTTATCATTCAGTTGCATTTTCTGCCTCCATGCTCTCTGTATACATTATATACATAGTAGGCAGAGTCCAAACGGTCAATATATTAGAGTCTTTAATACACCTTTGTCCCCTGGAATAGACTCCACAGACAGTCCTAGGAAATGTTTGTCCCCATGAAATCTGTTCATCGGTTCAGTTCAGCCACTCAGTCGTGTCCGACTCTTTGCAACTCCATGGACTGCAGCACGCCAGGCCTCCCTGTCCATGACTAACTCCCGGAGTTTACTCAAACTCATGTCCACTGAGTCAGTGATGCCATCCAGCCATCTCATCCTCTGTCATCCCCTTCTTCTCCTGCCCTCAATCTTTCCCAGCATCAGGGTCTTTTCAAATGAGTCAGTTCATCGCATCAGGTGGCCAAAGTATTGGAGTTTCAGCTTCAACATCAGTCCTTCCAATGAACACCCAGGACTGATCTTCTTTAGGATGGACTGGTTGGATCTCCTTGCAGTCCAAGTGACTCTCAAGAGTCTTCTCCAACACCACAGTTCAAAAGCATCAATTCTTCTGTGCTCAGCTTTCTTTATGGTCCAACTCTCACATCCATACATGACCACTGGAAAAACCATAGCTTTGATTAGACAGACCTTTGTTGGCAAAGTAATGTCTCTGCTTTTTAATATGCTGTCTAGGTGGGTCCTAACTTTTCTTCCAAGGAGCAAGTGTCTTTTAATTTATGACTGCAGTCACCATCTGCAGTGATTTTGGAGCCCCAAAAATAAAGTCTGTGACTGTTTCCCCATCTATTTGCCATGAAGTGATGGGACCAGAGGCCATAATCTTAGTTTTCTGAATGTTGAGGATGAAGCCAACTTTATCACTCTCCTCTTTCATTTTCATCAAGAGGTTCTTTATTTCTTCTTCACTTTCTGCCATAAGGGTGGTGTTATCTGCATATCTGAGGTTATTGATATTTCCCCTGGCAATCTTGATTCCAGCTTGTGCTTCTTCCAGCCCAGCGTTTCTCATGATGTACTCTGCATATAAGTTAAATAAGCAGGGTGACAATATACAGCCTTGACGTACTCCTTTTCCTATTTGGAACCAGTCTGTTGTTCCATGTCCAGTTCTAACTGTTGCTTCCTGACCTGTATACATATTTCTCAGGAGGCAGGTCAGGTGGTTTGGTATTCCCATCTCTTTAAGAATGTTCCATAGTTTGTTGTGATCCACACAGTCAAAGGCTTTGGCGTAGTCAATAGAGCAGAAATAGATGTTTTTCTGGAACTCTCTTGCTTTTTTGATGATCCATGGGATGTTGGCAATTTGATCTCTGGTTCCTCTGCCTTTTCTAAATCCAGCTTGAACATCTGTTTATCAGATTTCATTTTTTCGGTGAAGGTTTTCCCCATCACCTTTGAGAGAATTAATTTTTCTTCCTTGGGTTTTCACAGGGGTTTATACATACTTTTACTATAATAGGGCTTGAAGTATAAAGGTCTGTATGTGTCCCTCTATATTTACCGTTAGACTATGCATTTCCTGAGATCTGAGTTGTGTTTTGGCCATTTTTACATCCCTACTATTGTTACTGTATCTTGTTGGATGAATGAAGTTTTTAAAAAGGGAATGAAAGAAAGGACAGACTGGAAGCAAGGTATTGGTTGAGTGATTATTTTCATTGTCAAGGTGATAGTTCAATGGCAAAGTAGTTATTGGAAATTAAAAGGAAGAAACACAGAGAGGAAAAGGGAGATCATCTTTGGGGAAATTGGTGGAAAATAAAGTTGGATGAGCAGGGTTGGTGTAGATTTTGGAGAACTCTGAAAGACAGAGGAATGTGTTGCCTTTCTGTAGTATGATATTAAAAACAACAACAAAAAAAAAAAACTGTGGCTGATCCTGGAACAGAAGATCCACTGAGGGAGAGAGATGCTGGCATCGGTGAGCTGGAGAAAAGTGAAAGTGAGAGTTGCTTAGTTGTGTCTGACTCTTTGTGACCCCATGGACTAGACAGGCCATGGAATTCTCCAGGCCAGAATACTGGAGTGGGTAGCCTTTCCCTTCTGCAGGGCATCTTCCCAACCCAGGGCTGAACCCAGGTCTCCCACACTGCAGGCGGATTCTTTACCCGCTGAGCCACCAGAGTGAGATGGAGAGGAAGCTGTTAACAAGGACCAGGGCATCGTGGTGTTGGATGACAGGAAGGGACAAATGTGAGATTTAAGGGAGGCGATATAACAGCTCAGGAAAGGGAAGGGAAAATCAGAGTTTCTACCCTGGGAAACAGAGGATGATATGAGAAGGGGAAGTGGTTGGTCAAAAAAGATAATGTGTTCTGTACTAGAAATTTTGAATTTAAGAAATGACAAAGAAAGAAAAGCAGAGGTGACTAGAATTTGATCTGGAGAAGGGTAGTTTGGGGGATCATCCCCAATGAATGGGGCTCGAATGAGGAGGAAGAGAAGACAGAGAAGCAGTCAGAAGAGTAGGAAAAAATGTAAAGCAGTCTCTGTGATCACGGAAGTAAGGTCTAGGTCTTCTTATTATTAGCTGTGTTATATGGTCTCTCCCCGATGAGTTTCTTCATCATCAAAATTGGGATAATGGTTCCCAACTCATTGGCTTGTCTGAGAGGATTAAACCAGCTCAGTTCAGCTGCTCAGTCGTGTCCGACTTCTTGCAACTCCATGGACTGCAGCAGCCAGGCTTCCCTGTCCATCACCAGCTCCTGGAGTCCACCCAAACCCATGTCCATCGAGTCGGTGATGCCAACCAACCATCTCATCCTCTGTCAGCCCCTTCTCCTCCTGACCTCAATCTTTCCCAGCATCAGGGTCTTTTCAAATGAGCCAGTTCTTCACATCAGGTGGCCAAAGTATTGGAGTTTCAGCTTCAACATCAGTCCTTCCAATGAATACTCAGGACTGATTTCCTTTAGG